GCGGAACAATTTGTTGAAAATTGGTTGAGATATATAAAGTGAAAGAAATTGGCTTTTATTTCTTGGGTAGGATATGTTTGCATTATAGTAACATATATATGAGTATACGTATAACATACATATATAACTTATTCTTATTTGAATATTTCATGGAGTGTTTAGTCGAAAGGATATGTCTACGGTAATCATATAAGAAGGTTATGTTTAAGTTTATATGTTCTTATAGATACTTTTTATATTATGTTTTAGTTTTTATGTTCGTATAGATACTTTTCGTGTGCTAATCTGACACACAACAAATATGTTCTTGTCAAAATAGATTTTTAGAAAAGTTATATAATTTTTTTAAACGCTGTATGAATAAATTTAATAATAACAATAAAAAAAAATAATTATAATAATAACAATATAATGATAATAAAATAAAAATAATAATATTATAATAATATAACAGTAATAATAATAATAATAAAATGATAATAATTATAATAAAATAATAATAATAAAAAAATAAATAATAATAATAAACAAATATAATAAATAATAATAAAAAATAACAATAATAAAAAATAATAATAAAATAATAATAATAATAATAAAAAAAATAATAATAAAATAATAAAAAACAACAATAATAATAATAATAATAAAATAATAATAACAATAATAAAATATAATAACAATAATAATAAATAATAAAAATAAAATAATAATAAAAAATAATAATAATAAATAATAATAATAATAATAAAAAATAATAACAATAATAATAAAAAATAATAAAATAAAAATAATAATAAAAAATAATAATAATAATAACAATAATAATAATAATAATAATAAAATAATAATAATAATAATAATAATAATAATAATAATAATAATAATAATAATAATAATAATAATAATAATAATAATAATCCGCCCCACGGAATTGGAAGGTACCGTGGGATGCCGAGCTCAGGCAAGCGGACGGGTCCATAGGTTGCGGATAATGGAATGGCCATCAGATATGATGGTTAGCTGCGAATAAGATGAAAATTAAATAAGCAGTCCCGGACAATGAGCGGAGGCTGTCTATGGATGTGATTGGGGTAAACGAAGGGGCTCTTTTATCTCCAAGAAAAGATCACAAGATTCGAATCCAACCTCGACAAGGCGAGCTGACACCGCCTTTGAATAAGTGTCTCCCCCAAAATCTCTAAAACCCTTCTATCTCAACGTCTGTTTTCGCTATTTAGTGCGGCTGGGATTTAAATAAAAAACCTAAAGCGACTGACTCAGAATGGGCGGCTTTTAGGTCAGTGTCTGACTCCATGTTAGGAGCGGCTGGACGATATACCTGGTAGTAGGTATAAAATACCACCCCGTGTACTACGAGGTGTGAACAAATAGTACACAATGCAGTCACAAAATAATGTAAATCTGGGGAGATCGGATAACCCCACCGCGTCGGGATCGCATAACTCTCGCGTGCAGGATTTGGTACCTGGGTCCTGTTCGACAAGTATGCCACAGAACAACAGAAATAGAACACCTTTGCAGTCCGGTGAACAGCATATACATTCCGATATAGCTCTCACCGTGGCTGGCAGACCACGACAGCGCAGAAAATGGACTAATACTATAAATGAAGATTTATTACGCGCCTACTATATAGCTACAAACAATGAAAGAGATATGACAGCATATCGAACTACACTACATACAATATTCGTTGGACACCATCCGGACTATAATGTATCCGAACAGCGACTAGCAGATCAAGTACGGGTTATTCATAGAAACAATCTTATACCAGAATCAAGACGAAACGCTATCAAAGAATCGGTTGCCGAAGTAAGTAATGATCAATCGACAGAAACTGCAGAAAATGAGCAAGTGCAATTTGAATCAACTAATACTTCTACAAACGTACATGTACCAGGAACACGTAATAATGTAAATACGATAGAAGTGGAAAATGAACAACCACCTCCTGCTTTAAATGTAAATTTAATTGATGTCGATGAAACCACGGATCAGCAGGAAGATGTAAGTAATGAACAAATGAGACTTAGAAGTAATCAGCATAGCTTAAATGAGATTTTTGAACAACAATTTGACATTTACAGTAACCTTAACCCTCTTTTAAGGCCACGCATTCCGAAAATTAATACTAGTAAGAAGCTAAGTTTTCTTATTGAAACACTTAACAATGATGCGATCCTGACAAAACTGAACAATGTGAGCAATTTGCAGAATTACATACTATTGTATATGTATCAGCTATAACAATTGCTACTACAATGGGATGCAAGATAGGACAACCCAGAGATGGACCACGAAGA